CTGAAAGTTTCATTAAATTCTGACAATTATTTGATTTTTTACTTGAAGTGTTTTCAAATATATATTTTTTTAAAAACAACATTGAGGTTTTCTATACTAATTTCCAATTAGAAACTGACAAAGAAAAATCTTAAATAGCAATGAAAATGCTTTTTTGTTAAAAATGGATAAAAAAAATATAATTTAATAATCTTTTGGCAATTCCTCTGAAAGATGTTGACAATAAAATTTTAAGTTTGAGGCATTTTTCAATATTTTTTTTCATGTTTCAGCGAATCTGTGGACATACCTATCTTAAATATATAGATAGATAGATAGATAGATAGATAGATAGATAGATAGATAGATAGAAAGAGGTAAAGAAAAAAGAGGTCGAGAGAAAAAGTGTTTGCGTGTCTATGTGTAAACAGTATGTGAAGATGTGTGTATGTGAGTCTGCATTAATAAAATTATGGCGAACGTCAAAAACAGATGTGAAAACTATCTTTTCCATTGTCACAACAAATGGATATTCTTTGTCTGCGAAGGATGGATATGTTTATTTACATTTTATGCTAATGAAGTGACCCATATCCTCTAACATTGGTAATTATTCAGAACTGAGATTAAAGTGTTAAAATAAACTTTTTTTAATATTTAAAAAGGGATTTAAACAGGATTTTTATTGTCATCACATTGTAATCGACGTTTGGCATAATTTGGCTCAAAGACATATAATAGTTAACCTAGATACCACCAAAAGGGATACGTTTTTGTTTTTTGTTTTGTTTTTTTTTCGAAAAGAAAGCAAAAAATCGTTACCCACCATTTTAAAATATTTGCCAAAATTATCCGATTCAAGTGAAATGTTCAGTATTTTCATTAATGAATGACTTGTATACTGAATAGGTTATTTCATTAAAAAGCTTTGTGGGAATGTTTTTTGGGTTTCACCTACCCTTTTCGATATTCGTTCATTTTCATTCTGGGATTTTCATTGAATTTTTTTTATATTTAGTTATATAAATAAAAAATCAGAAAGATATTATTTCAGTAATAAAAATTTCGTTACGAGCCTTACTAAAAAATAATTCAGTAAAACTCAAAAAATAATTTTTCTGAGTGTTGATGCTTGCATAATTTAATAAAACACGTTATTTTCTTTCAGATTGGACAGAAAAAAACTACTCTTATTTAAAAGAATTGTAATTTTAATTTCAGTGTGAATTCATGCCGTTGCTGTTCGCAACAAGAGTTTTTTTTGTTTTGTTTTTTTTAATTATAAAGATAAGTGCCTAAAAACGAATACATAACCTTCATTTTAGTTTTAATTCGACACTAATTGATTCAGTTAAATATTAATATTCACATTAAGCAAAATACTTTGGTGTATTTCAAACCGAATTTAAATTGATTTTTCTGATCATCAGTAAAAATATATAATTGTATTCATATTGAAAAATCAGTCAACAAAACATAATTCTCTTTATTAAAAAAATCATTAAAAATTATACTTTTCTGAAATGTTATGTTAGAAAAATTAGCAGATTTAAATTTAATTAATCCGAACAAATATTACGTACGTTTAGCTTAAAACATTGCAGAAAAGCATCTTAAGGCGTGGGGAGTGTTTTTTGACGTGTTGATGTGTTGACAGCCTGATTTTTGGCAAATTTAAATAAGGGACACATATAGAAATAAAATTACATGACAAATACAACGTGAACGCCATTTTTATATGTATACTTAAATAGCAATAATATTAAAAATTTAAGATATTTTAGAAATTGGAAATTTGCGACAATGTTAGAAAAAAATAATAAATTATAAATAAAATTTAAATTTTTTTTTTTTTTTGAGGTTTCATTTCTTTAGAAAAAACCATTTTTTTATCAAGACTATAAACCCTGTCTTCTGCATTTGTTAGGGAAAGTAGCTGAGGAGAACTTTTTTTTATTATGATTATCAAGCAGGACAGACATTTTTCGTCTGAATATAATTTGATCTAACTTTCCACTGCAAAAAGAAATATATTTGAATGTTTTTAGAAAAAAAAATGTTTTTGTTAGTCATGTATCGAAAGATACATGATCGCCTAAGCGTGTATCACACATGGCACATAACTGACATAAGTGACTGTAGGGACCACTGTTATTTTCTGATATTGTTGGGTATGAACGCCCGTATTTACAAAATTTGATACGTTTATACACAAATAAAAAAATTTTGTAGTGAGCTTTTCCATTTATGATTGGCAAACACAATTTTAATTTAATACCACTACAAATTAATACAGAATTTTAAAAGTTTAAAAAATAAAAAAAGTTTATAAATTAAAAATGAAAACAGTTTTTGTAAAGATTCATTATTCATCGAATTTTTTTAAGATAATAGTTTTTATAATAAGATATTTAATTAGACAAGCTGTTAATTGATTTTATGAATAAAATATTATTCATAAAATCACTTCACCACTTTTCTAATTAAATGTCTTACTTTTCTTGCATTTTTATTTTATGATTCAAAGCAGATTTTCTGTAAATTTTGTAACCCATTGCGACAAAAAAGACCCCCCAAAAAAAAACAAAAAAAACAAACAAACGATAATTTAAGCTTTCCGTAGGCTTATCTCATATAAACATTAAGCAACTCAAAAGGGAATTTCTCGAAATTTCATAAAATTAAATGCATGACAGTGGGAGATAAGAAATGTAAAAAAAAAAATACATTTATGAGCATTTTTTAAAAAAGAAACGTTTAAAAAAAATAATATCATTCATTTTTATATAAGTCCTGAAAGTTAAAATCATTATCTGATTTTTTAAAGGATTTCCAAATTAACGCAAAAAGACGCTCTAATTTACTATACAAATTTAAGGTTCCCCATTGACGCCAGAAAATAAGATATTTAACCAAAATTTTCATAAAAAAATAATTTTTACATAAAAAATCCTTTTATTTTCCTCTTAATAATAACAAAAATGGTTAACTATAAAAGTTTCTTTTATTGTTTTATGATACTTTTTATCGTGTATCATTTTTAGCGGTTTTTTAGGGGTATATAAATAAAGACATATTTGAAGAATCGAAAATATAAAGTTTAATGCAGTTTTCGAGTGTTAACCTTTATTTTAAAGAATTTTTTTTTTCATTTTATCAATTGTTAGATTACTTTTTGTATGGGTGTTCAAAAAGGAAATAATTCTGAATTACCGCCTTTGATTGACTACTTTTCCCTATCGGAAAAGTAATATGATATATAGTAATTCAATAACACTTAAATTCAGAATAATTAAAAATGACCATATCGAGTGCCATCAAACAGGTAAGAAAATAATAAAACAATAAAAGCAACTAAAAAAAGCAAAAAAATAAAAAAACAAAAAACAAAAACAAAAAGCTACTGATGTTTTAAAAAACAAAATTATTCATTGTACTAATTTTCATAAAATTCTATAGAATAAAAAATTATATTCTTAAATTATTGGTTATATAATGTTAAACATAAATACCAATTTTTTGGTAATCAAAAAATTGGTATTTCTTTTAATTTAAAAAAATATTTCTAGTTGTTGACCTCTGGCTACCGTGCATAAATAAGTGTTATTTTCATTATGTCTTAAGCCAAAAATAGGCATTATGTTTACAAACCTTAAATTTACTAACTTCGAAACACATCTTTGGGTAAATATTGGATTTGCAAGAGATTTTTTTTTTTAATTTATTGTTTAGATTTTTCGTCTATAATGGTAGTGAATGACAGCGAATATGCCAATGTTTTTAAAATGCCAAAAACTTTATTTACCTACGGAAACTGATTTATCGTTTAATACGGATTTAGGATACTATCTTTCAAATAAAATCATTTGGTCAGATTTTAGGAAGTGGGTCTTTTCAGTAGTCATCGTCTATCACTTTGGCATGAGATGCTAACTATATGTTATTCGTAAAGGATATTCGAATTATGGTAAGATTTTGCTAGGTATTTTGTCTGAGATAGCTAAATTTTCTCAACACTTCACAATGTTTCTATTATCCCAGCAGTTAACAAATTATGTAATTACAAGATCTATCAAACTAATGTACTTTAAAACCAACAGAGACCAGATTTTTTGCCTTAACTTTTCTTTTTATAGCAATTTGGATTTATTACTTTATTTTATTGCTTTAAGTTTTTAGAAAACTTTTAAGCAGAGAAATCAATCATTGTATATAATAATTTGGAAAAATCATGCAATTTATTAGTTTTATCAAAATAGTTTTTATCCCGACATTTTTTATTGGTTTCTGCTGGTGTTGGTGAACGACAGCAACTGTGCAGGACAAACGTGCACTCTTCCATACACGTCAAAATAGAAATTATTACATTGACTTAAAACAAGAAAATAAGCATTCTTCTTTCTTCTTTTCTTTTTTTCCTTCTTTCTTTCCTTTTTTGAAAAAAAAATACTGTCGAGCGAAAATACACTGGGCATAACAACATAGAGACAAGTTCGTGCACAAATGTACACGTAAAGATTAAATATATTATTCCGACATTAAACGGACAGACTGGCGTTTAAAAAAGAATGAATTCTAATACACACACACGCACACACATACATACATACATACATACATACATACATACATACATACATACATACATACATACACCAAGAGGGATATAGAAAAAGGGAGAGTAAAAGAGAGGGGACGTAGAGATAGGCCATCGTAATAATTAGTAAATGTATAAATCGATGAAGAGAAAGTTGTTTCAGAAGAAAAAATAAGATATAGAAAGGGATAGAACAAAGAATGACGTCCCAAGACAATACAAGAACGTTTGCTCGCAAACAGACTGACACTATTGACCCCTCCCAAGCCCAGCGACAGCTATTTGAATTAACTGACAATAACATTATTGGTGACATCAAACACACGTATACATTAATTCAAACACAAACGTTCAGTCTACTAACACACACACACACACACACACACACACACACACACACACACACACACACACACACACACACACCCGTTCGATCATCGGCGTTAAGCAACATCGAGCCTGGTCAGTACCTAGATGAGGGACCACTTGGGAATACCAGGTGCTATAAGCTTGGATGTGTGGATGGTGTAATGGATAACGCCCTGGAAATGGAAATTGGAGATCCAAATTCCAAATTCCAATTCCAGTCGGGTTCGTTATATTCACTTTACCCTTGGAAAAAAACTCTCCCCCCAGCTATGGGTAAATTAGTAGGACTTGCTTCAGCAAATTATTATCTCAAAAAGTTTCTTACAGTCTAAAAATATTTTCTGGCTTTAAATAATCTACAAAAGGTTGATAAGCTGTAAAAAAACAAATTAATCAATCAATCACAAACACGCGTTCACATACCCCCATGGAATTCAGTGTATTTATATGATTCAACAAACTGGTACGCATACAATAACCCAAAACACGTTTACGCATTTACATTAATATAAACAGCAAAAACATAAAATTAAACTATTTTTTAATCATTTCATCCCAAGCAAGGCGGTAATGCCACAAGTGGTGCAAGGTGGTTACAGGGAGTGAAAGTGAAAGAGAATAAGAAGACTAAGAATAAGGAGGATTGATGTAAGGACAAAAGAAAAGGAACAGGGTTCAAGAAGATGGAAGATGGCGATTAATCTTGCATTTAATTTTTTGAAGATTGTAGTTATCAATGGGACACGGAAAAGGAAGGGAGTTCCACAGTTGGGAAGTGCAAGAAAAGAAACTGTCAGTGTAGAAGTGGAGGTTGCACTGAAATATTTCAACATTAAAACGGTGGGACCCAGTTGCCAATTTAATAGCACGCTTAAATTCATGTAGACATGTCACCATGGAACAACACGTTAGAGCTACACCTATACACGTAATGAGCTGTTTGGTAGGTAGGATAGAGATACTACATAAAAGAAAAGTAAAAATAATTAGTACAGAGTAAGAGACGGTATTAGAATATGTAAGATGAAGTAGATAGAATATAAAAATAAAAGGAAGGAAACCAACATATATTAGAGAGAGAGAGACGGGGATACAATTTCCAACTGGTCGTGCAGCTAAAAGCGAGAATCAAGCCAAGTACTTCCTGCTTAACAGAAAAGTGAGTAAACATTTTTATTCATCACCATGATTTTGTAACTATATTTTATTGTATGGCGGAATTATAAAAAAATTGTACATTTTTATAAACTAGTATGATATATTTCCACCCACCGCTTTTAATTACTTCAAAAATGAATCAGGCAATCCCAGGTCAAAGTCCAGTCGTAACCTTTATTATCACTTTTGAGCTTGGAAAATGCAGAAATCTAATCGTATATGGTACCATTCACAGTGATCAAGGTCTGGTTATCGATAGATATCCTTAGTTGACGATAGATAGATAGATAGATAGATAGATAGATAGATAGATAGATAGACAGATAGATTACATGCATGCATACATCGGTAGATAGATGATGTTATTATCTAACATTAATCCTAATGAATGAAAGAGAAAAACTGCAAAATATATCTTTGCAACTATAACAGCGCAAATTATAAAATCATTTTAATGTTTTAATTTCCGCCTTATCATTATTCTTTCCATAAATTATCCAAGCAAGTACACAGATGTCTGTTCTTGTTAACAAGCATTGCAATAGAAGTATTTGTGTAAATAGAAATATTTAGACGAGAAATAAGTAAATAGAATGAAAAATTAAAATTAAAAAAAGCAACAAAATTGAAAAATGTCTGCAGACAAACCACAAATACTGGATTTCGACAGTGTCATATTCTTGTCAAAAACACGACGATATGGAATACATATATAAAGAAGGTCTCGCGCTTGAACATTATGTTGATTCAACAGAAGCTACGCTATCAGATGTGCATTTTCCGATTAGTTGTTTCTAATGCTTGTCTCTCATGGTCTTTTGTGAAGCATACATTCTATTATTTTTCCAAATGAACGTCCAGTCAATTGCATTTGATTTTTCGTGTATTTTCTTTTCTAAAAGTTGCTATATTTCTTCAGAGCACAACGTGAATAATCTTTTCATCGATTTTCTCCTTCATCTGAACATAAACGCAGTCGCAGCCCTTATTACTAAATTAACTGAAGAGGACACTTAAAAATTTGAACGTAAAAATAAATATATTGTTATCTGAAAGAACATATCTATTGTCATTAAATGGTTTCCTATTTGTACATGCATATTTGTCCGTTCCCATGCAATAGATATCAATCAACAATAGCTTCTGTTTTGTCTTCTAATTGTTTAAGGAAGCCTTTTGTACAATTGCTCTTTTTCATGCATAAATCCATGCATGGAATTATATGATCTATGAATCATGTAACCTGTAATTTATCTCAGTTTAATATACAAAGCAAGTATTTCTAAACCTACGATTTTGTCAACTTCATCTGAATCGTGACATTTATCATCTTCGTTTCAAATTATTAGAAAATATAGATACGGTAATAATCGTTTTATTTTAAAAAATATCTGTTAATAATTGAGCTATAATATCTGATCTCTCTGAAAGTCGATGTTCTGTTTTATCCTTTTATGATTAATTGCGCATCATAGTGATCTGGTATATCAAATCTTTTGACAAGTGCCATTAAATTTCATATTCCGAGCAGACATGTGAAATATTGTTGGTAAAATGAGTTCTTGTCTCATCTGCTACGTTCTCCTTCTTTCTACTATTATGCACTGAATAATTTCAAGATGATGGTTCTTCATAACTCCCCGTTTATTGCTGGTCTAAATAATGTTTGACCGTTTCTGTCCTTGTTGTTCCAATTATTTGTCCCCGTTTCATGCAATCTCGGTAAGTAGGTTATTAGCTGTTTCCTCTGCTTCTTTTGACTTCAGTATGACTTCAGAGTGCTAAATTTTCCTCATTGTGTATGCCAGAAAGTTCAGCATCACTTTTTGATTAGAAATAAATCTAAAATTGATTTTCCTCAAAACTTCCTTGTTGCGCATATTCCCGTGCTTGGTATTTTCAGCATTCATCAATAGAACCACATCTCTGTCGCTTTAGATCTTTTCTTCATACTTGAAGAGATTATGCAGCATTCACTGGCATACAGGAGATTAGGTATTAAATAGTTGTTCATCAATCATTGTTTTACTCTCTTAGTACTTTGCTTAGTTTTTGAAAGACATTTTCTTATTCTTATGCACCTTTATATTTCTTTATTACATTTCTGTAAAATGTTTCTTGCTTTCCTTTACTACATTGTCTAAGAGTGCTTTCAATTTTTCTTCTGTGTCTGCCACATCATAATGTCATCTGCGTATCTTATGTTGTTAAGATTATATCCACCAATGATAAATCCCAGTATGTTTTCTAGTTCTCTTAGGATTGTCTCACTGTATCTGGTTAAAGAAATCTGACGAGAAAAGCATACCCACTGCGTCCCTCTTTCTATTTTCATGTTTGTACTGACAACTTTAAACGGGAATGATAATAGTGAAATTGATTTGTATCGTATTTTAATGAATACGAAAAAATTTGCACTTAGTTAACATTTTCATATTCTATAATATTTAATACAATGTAACTTTATGTTTATCAGTCATGATTCTGATCTCCACTATTTGAGATAATGAGATATTCCATTGTTATGGTAACATACTCTCTATTCAACTTATAATAAGTAACTTGTAATACTACTTTTTATTTAGTTTGTCTGACGTTAGTTTTCTTTTTACTCTAAATGATTTAAAAAGTAGAATTCTTTTAGAGAGCAAAATAACAGGCGAGCAACAATAGTTTTAATTGTATTAATAGATTCCACACGCAGAAAATATAATCAATATTAATAAGAAATTATCAAATAATTAAAATATAATCAATATTAATAAGAAATTATCAAATAACAGCGTGGGTGCTATTGTCTATGTGTGTTTATTGAACTGAAAGAAAGTAAGAAATAAATAACTAAAATAAGGTAACACGAAGTAGACTGAAGTATAAAAAGTTATAGTATGTGTGGGTATGTGCATGGGTATGTGTGTGTGTGTGTGTGTGTGTGAGAGAGAGAGAGAGAGAGAGGCAAGTAGCATTTTTTTTTATATCTATGCATATTATACCATTAAAAATCTCAATTTGGATCTAAGTAGCAGTAGATAAATAGTAACTGTCTTATTGACATAGCCACTTTATATTTAATATAAAAATCCACGTTTTAATAATCATATATATTGCGAGCTGCTTCTCTCAACACAAGATATATTAAGGATAAGAAAAATAGTCACTTTTTGAAAAGTTCTTTCTTTCTTATTTAATTTCTTTTTTCTCATTTAATTTTTCTTTAATTTTTGGTTTTCTTTTCGGCGCGTCAATTCAACAGATATCATAGTGTCAAACACACACATAGAAACTATAGATTCTTTGCATAATTGTTACAATTGTGAATTTGTTTAGTTTAATATTTAGGAAGTGTTGAACATAAACAAGAAAACGCAGAGCATCATAAAGTTTTTCATAGTTTTAAAGAAATTTTAAAATTACTTATATATTTTCATAATTTCTCTCGGTACCTGTAAACTATTTATGGTTAGCGTCTTTTCGTCAGATGTCTTTCCACAAATCTTCACAACTATTATCGAATCATTTGTGCGGGGTAGACTGGCTGTTCAATTTTAGAAGTTGATCTTTTGGACCTTTCATACGTTGGAGGCAGAGAGAAAGTCCATCACATACCGTTTCTAACAGTTTTTGCAGAGTGCAGATCAAATGACAAAGAGCAAAGATACTGTGATCCTAGAAAGGGGTACTGATTCATGCATAAATAGTTTTAGTGAGTTTTAGTGAGTGATATACCCATAAGATTCATATTGTAATTAATATGAAATGATTCACTTAGGACCAAATAGAGTTATATAAATAGATTAGCAAATACAACAATTAAATATATTTACATAAATTACGTTGTTGATTCATTGATTTAAAATTTTTCTCGGGATATATTTATTTCTTACATATTCCAAATTAATAAGAAAATTGCTCTCCCAAATTACGTTAATAATTTGTCCGTGAGTTTTATTATAAGTTTGTTTTTCTTGATCAAATTTAGATGATGCCATCAGTAGATCGTTATTTAATATCATTGATATATCAATAAATTAATCTCCCTACTTATCTATGCTTTTTATCTTCTACAATATTCCGAAAAAATATTATAATTTTCATATTCGCACACACACAAACACGCGCGAGCGCGCACACACACACACACACACACACACACACACACACACACACACACACACACACACACACACACACATCCGTACACGTAGTGTTAGCAGGGGACCTTTGCGTGCACGTCTGTAGATCACCACGACGCGCCATTAAACGTGATAAACATTTTAAGAAAGCAAACAAGATGACCAAGAGCCATTTTAACGTTGAATTGGTTCATGAACGTTCAAGATGTCGGAAACGTGACTCAGAATCTCGTATCAGTTTTTTCTTCGGCGTCTATTGCAAAATATTTTACTACAGATAATATTGCAGTTTAATTCGAAATAATTATCATTTAGTTTTTGAAAATATTTGTTTATTTTTTTTATTTATTTGTAGACAATATTAACGGCATGCTATCCTTCGATACAATATGTTTTTATATTCAACGAATTTTCTATAATTCTAAGCACCATTAACGTTTACACACACACACACACACACACACACACACATGATTCATATGATGTCATTCGTTGTTTGAGAAATGCAAACAGTTACACAGGCACTTATATGTACACGTATATCTACAGATTATATCATATGAACTACATATGTGTATGTATGTTGGATTAACAATGTGAATTCCATGATAACTATTTGCTTTTCTGCCTATTTCTGTTCATATCTATCTATCTATCTATCTATCTATCTATCTATCTATCTATCTGTGAAATATACATATTATTCTGATGTATTTATAATTTTCTTTTACAACACAAGTTCTTTAGCTGACAAGCGCTGTTATAACGTCCTTTTGAACACTCACATCAAGATTTAAAACTTGGTATGCACCAAACAAATTACTCTTGGCAAACGATCTCTATTTTTATTTTATTCATTTTTATATCAGAATTTTGATTGGAGAAAGTTGTGGCGGGCATAAATGTTTGATTTCTGTAGAGATCGATAGTTACAACAATTAATTCATTTTATGAATCCAATTTTAAAAATTTCGTCTTTTTTGTTTGTCTGTTTGTGTAATTTTTTGTAGTAATTATGCTATCAAAAAATATAAGTATATTAAGTAACATTTTTATATATGTATTCATAGAGGCGTAAGCATTTGCGTGATGGACGTATGCGTATATGTATATACTTAAATATATCTGTATATATCATTTATGTCATATATACCCACATATTTGAAGCATTACTTTTTGCATAGTAAGAAAAATAAATTAAATTTGTGGATTTCTTTACGTAATTACGGTTTTTTTTTATTTGGTATTTTATTTACACATTATTTATTAAATGCTATAATATATATTTTAATCTTGTTCTAATTCAATTAATGTCGACTGTAAAATAAGAAGAGGTTTTTTTTTATTATTCTAATCTCCAAAAGTGAAATTATTTTTCTGCTCTGCTAATAAATTGCATCTCATCCATTGAAATATTTTCGCATCTTATGCACGAAGCATATTACAGTCATTTACAGACCACGAGATCGAAATCACCTCAGCTCAATTAAGCATCGAGCGGAGGCGATTTCGTGTGAAAGGTTACTGTTCCTTTTTTTTGAAAAGTTAAATTTTTCGTGCTCCTAAATGAAAGAAACATTTGGTTACAGTATATTCAAATTAAAAGAAAAATGAAAATATTTTTAAATAAAATTCTTAATTAATTATTACAAATTAAAACTGAGAAAGCCAATTTCTGTTGTGATATTACTTAGATGAAATGCATCTATACTTAAGGATAAATGACAAGTGTACAAAATGAAGTATATATAAGATGGGGCATAAAATGGACCATATATAAAATGGACATATATCAAATGTGATATACGTCAGTGGTGAATTGCTATTACCTATAATCATGTGATTCAAAAACTAAAAAAGGGAGAAAATTATATTTTTAGCTAGAAACAGATTTGAATATATCTATATGTACAAACTAGAATTAATAAAGTTACATAGGTTGGTATATATGAGACTTATATATACAAAAATGGATTGATTTCAAAGACCTAAGAAGATTTCATAATATCAATAACTTTTGAAAGATGAAAATATTTTATTTTGTTTTTGAGATCCTGAGATTTGCCTTATTTCAAATACTATCCATCGATATCACTACGACAGGAATTAGATTGGATAAGCTGCAAAGACAAGTCGATTTTAGACTGAGACGTAAATAAGTGGTTTAGAAGTATGTGCAGCTGATATAGATATGAATAAAACAGGATATATTGATTTAGCGTACATATTGATAATAATTAACTGTAATTATTCGATGATTGCAAAGAGAAATTTATTGTTAGGTAATTCTTTTCAATAGAGTTCGACCAAAATTACACTTATAATGCTTCAATTGTCATCAATAGCAATCAGTGACAAACCCACAGTATCAATCTACATGCAGAGATTTTAATATTGACAATCTTCATATAACGACAATAATGTACCGATATAGCTAACGTGAGAGTACTAGTGAATAATTGATTCATTTATGATGTTTGGGATTTAGTGTATCGTTCATCGATAGAAGTCTAATGCTATTAATATTATATAGAAGAGTTTCTTATTACCCGTACCCTAGCACATAACTTAAACCAGGTTTTTGTAAATATTTTATTAAATGCATTATAATCTACTGTTAAATGTTCTTTGTGGATTTCAGGAAACGACAAAGCTTTGCATGCATATTGATATTCTCTGTCGATTATCAGCATCTTGATATAAAATACTTTTTTCAACAATGAGATAGCAATATTCTATGCTAATCTTCAGTGCATAATTATATTGGATACTAAACGTGAATAAGAAAGCATGATGTACTTCTGCGGATACAAATTATCTTTGACATCAATTTGATTAGCATTCACACGTATGCCTTAATAGCACTGGACGGATAGGATGAAACGGCTCCGGTGCTTTCTGCATTCTGTTGAGGATTATTCTAGGCTCAACGAATTACTATATGATTAGACTAAATCCCAAAATAATCACTCGTATATCCTTGCTAAACCCAGCTAATACTCTGCGATAGAGCGGCTAAGGGTCAAAAAAGCAGTCGTGGCTCTTAGGACACTGTTCCGAGGTTATCTAAATACTTGGATCGCTGTGGAACTGAGTGAGTAGCGGTGCTATATCGAGTCTAGTTTGTGTCTTCTTCGTCACCGAGGCCCGTGGTACAGTTGGTATGACGTTTGCATTGTATCTGAAAAACTGCTGTATTTTTTAGGGGAAAAAAGTGTCCAGTATCGTGGATATAGACAGTGTAGACAGAGGAATCAACACAGTATGGTGACTGCCAGTTTCATATCTCAATGTTATATTCAAACCAACTGTGTGATAATAAAAAGAGCACCAGTTTACAACACTTTAACCTTTGCCTAAAGGGTAAGATAACTATTATTACCTTTCTAGAATAAAATACACTCCTAAGAGAATATTTTCAAATGCAAACATGAAAACAATTTTCTGCTACGCTACCTACTAACTAAAAAGTATAGGAGACGTATATATACAAGAACGGATTGATTTCAAAGAAGATTTCATAACGCCAATAACTTTTGAAAGATGAAAATATACACTACGTGACTTAAAAGATTACATAAAATCCCATAAACTAAATCTAAATGCCAAAACTTAGAACCAAAGGAAAATGTATAACAAATTAATAGACGAAATAAATAAAATAATGAAATAATAAATAAGCTATCTAGAATGTTATGACTATAAATAACCGCAAGCATTAGCCGAATCTTAGTGGCGATTAGATATATGGAGCGCAATAAAGGTCTGATGATAGCATTGGGACATAAAACTGACTGCCACCATGTAATGTTGATTCCTATGTTATCTATCTATCTATCTATCTATCTATCTATGTGTGAGCGTGTGTGTATTAGTAAAAGTAATACCAATTTTAATTTAATTTTAATGTAAACATTCATAGTTTTCTTTTTTTTTTAGCTATAAACTATAGTGTGTATAAATAACGAACTCATAAGTATATCGGGCATAGTTCAACGGCAGATACTTTCAGGCAATTATAAAATTATTTTTGAGTGCCTCACCGTGAATTAATGGTTAATGAGTTCGTATAGTAGACAACAGTGTAAATTTGATACGCCACTGTTGTCGTCTTGTGTCAGACTAAACTAATCTTAATAAATACCGTGGCTTTATCCCAGATTAAGCTCAGCTTACCTATTTTAATATATATTGGACACCTGGAGTAACGATGGTTTATAATCTAGTTTCGCTAATCTGATAAGTTCAACACTCGTGATATGTCTCACTTTTTAGCCTTGTACCAGACTAACATACTTTGAAAAGGAAAAATACATACATACATATAAATAGCTAAAGGAGGGTGTATTGAAAAATTCAAGGTCCGACCCACTTGAAATTTTTCAATCCAGTAAAAATCAATACAAAAAAGGAACATTTTTTCTTATTAAAATAGATATTATATAAGGAAAAAATACAATACGCATTTGTTGCCTTATAATGCTTTTAGAACTTTCTGGACACACTCAGATTGTGCCAGCGCTTTAGGATATTCCAGAGATCAGAAGTAAATCTTAAATATATGGTTACATTTTTACATATTTGATTCAAGTGATTCGGTATTTAATAAAGAACAGGCAAATTGAATGTAAGATTGGCTATTAGCATCATTTATCACGTTACCACTTTTTAAAATCTGCCTTGTGAGCACGCAAATGCATTTACAAATAAATGTACTCATCTAAACTCTACAATAAATGCCTTGCTGCTTCTTGTTTTCCTGTCTGTTGGAAATCGTCTTCTGTAGTTTCAGTCTTTAAGAATTCGGGCAAACTTTGATTCTTGTAACTATCAGCCTTCTACTAGAGGCTCTAATCAACTCTGAATTGGTTAAGCATCTCATTTCGCAGACTCTTCTTTCAGACAAGCAATATGGCTTTAGCTTCTCTAGGTCGAGGGTGGGCTGAAAACTTCATAGGCTGACTACGAAGAACTGATGCTAGAGCTGTGAAATCTTGCATGCATTAACTGAAACTATTCTTATTAATAGCTGCATTGTTTCTTTCCAGGAAAAGGGATATCTGAATGTTCAAAGAAGACTTCGAAAGTTACTAGTAGCGGCTTCTCTTTGAAAATGGACAAAATTTGGCAACGTGTTTTTATCAAACAGAAAAAGGTTTAAGCCGCCATTCATGCTAACATGGTTACTATATTATAGAGGATGACGCTCCAGCTTCATCACTTTATCAAGAATACAAAAGTGAGCAGGTGAAATTAGGAGGGGAAAAGTGTCTTGATGATAACCTGAACATCCTGAAACTACCACCTGTAAAACGTTGACCTTGTTCACCACATGGTGATGAATGACAGGCGACTGACTATACGTAAGTCAAATAGCCAGTTCTATAGCATATTCCTTGAGAGAGTTGAGAATATTCTGCACAATGAACTTGACATATAGTCTTCTTTCATTTGTTTGTCAAGCAATACTGTACCTGTTCTCACTATAAAATTTTAATTTTAAATTTAGCTTTTATCAATTTGAAGTTGAGTTTTTTTATTTAGTTTTGAGCCAAAAAAAATTAAAAAAATCATAATGTAGAAGAGAATATTTAAAAATATTTGAAGTTGTTTTCTTAATTTGAAGTTCAACTTCTTCATAGACCTCCTAGGATGTGGTACATGTTGTGAGACCGTAACATACCTACAACATAGACTCTTCCAGGACTATATAAAGTATGCGATATAATACTCTAAGAGAAGAGGAGGAAAGAGAGAGAGAGAGAGT